TTTTTGAAGAATTTTCGGAGCCTGATGAAATCCGTATAAATACGTGCTTAATGCTGCAAAATACGCTGGATGTTACAGTCACTGCCCTTGCCGTCCAGAATAAAAGAGAGCATCCCAATCGAGTGAAGGGATTTGTGGAAACTGTGGTTCCTAATTATTGTGATCCAACATTTGCCTCGCATTTCAGGATGAAAATACAAACATTTTAGGTGAAGGATAATCCACTTCTTACCTCCGAGACTGTGTTATGATCTATATGACCTTATTATTTTTATTGTGAGTATTAGGCTTATCATTATTGCTGATCACTGTTGTTGTGCTATGATATTGTAATATTTACCATTATATAATCAGAGGAGTAGGCTATAGAAAAGTTTATGAAAGTGTCACTCCACAATACAATAGCAAAATATAAAAATATGTATAGTATTTTTATGTTACATTAATCAGTGTCTAGCACACCTTCCTTCCTTCTTGGACCAGACGACATTGCAATTACTAAATGATATTTAGACAGACTTAAAGAAGTTCCAGATCTATACTTGTGCTCTTATTATTTCAGTTATTTTTCCTTTAATGTAAATAAACGTGCAAACAATATGCTTGCTCTTGTGAATTTATTTTGATGTTAATTACATCAGGCTGTCTCTTTAATACCGCGTGGTTTATATACATGTTGCTGCTGATTGGGCTGACATTTTTGACACACCCACCAAACAAGAGAAAACGTATCTCAAACCCCATTGCACACCGTTTCCAGGAAACATGTCGTTCAACCTGGAAACCATAGCAAAACGTTGCACACCGGTTTGAGCTTGAAATTGCCCCAGGACTTGATTTTATTGAGAATTGATTAGACAATGAAATGGGGGCGTTACACGCCAGAATGAGTCAGGTGGTTGGAGGGGAGGGGTAAAAAAATAAGAGAGATTTATGATGTCAGTTGTATAGGAAAGTCTTTTCAGTGCGCATTTAATAAAAGATTATAAAGACGAAAACATTTTCTGTGGAACAATGTGCCATGAATCATGCAAAATAGGCTTGCAATTGTGGTGATATAAAGGCTTATACTGTAGATAAAATCACCATCAGGCCTCACCATCAACCACAATTGGGGGTTAGTTTGTGTTGCAGGACATTCACCAGGCTTTGTGGTCTTTCATAAAGACTGAAAGAGATCGAGGGAGTGAGGAATTGACTGGACATACAAGGACTGAAATCTTGTCATTGTCAAACCAAGGAGATGACAAGTAGCATTACATTTGAGATGTAAGAAGACTTCAGGTTTGAGAAAAAATATTGAAGGGCTGGATATGGTGCTGTCAGTTATCCTTCTTATATAAAGGTCAACTGATAGCAACTCAGTTTATTTATCTCACCAGAGCAAGACTGGACAATACCTAAAGGTCACTTCAAATAAGATCACTATATGTTCTACTCACTTCAAATCAGTTATCTAATGCATCTTGCCATTATTGTGTTAATTAAAATTGCACATTCCTGTTTTCTATCTAATACACACTTACGTAAAAAAAAAAAAGAAAACATGCATGTTTTTTTCCAAACGTCCTCCATCACAAAAGAGCTCAGATCACTATGACTGCCTGTTCTGCAGTCTGTTACTATTGGAAACAGGGGAAAAAAGATAGTGGCTGAAGCTTGGTATATAAAAGAAGAACAGTGGCGTATCGTCACTCTTCTGAATGGATAAACTCTAGTCCTAAATCCCATTGTCTCTGAAGGGAAGGCTTAACATGAGGAGATAGAAACCTCAAATTCTCTCTGGCTTTGAGGCAGGGATGCTGAATCAAGTAGGGAGAATTGAATGATTTCAGTCTGAGAATGGTATCTTTGATGTTTTTTGATGGCTTGAGAAGTGCTGTGATTCCTTGTACTCTCATGTGTGATGACTCACTGATGAGAAAGATGAAAAATGAAAGAAAAAACAGATCAGCATGTAATCACAGCCACTGGGCTCAGCAGGCAAACACAGCAAATTGGGAAGACATTTCCCATTATTTCACTAGAACTTCAGACATTTGTGTTGAATTTGTATAACTGAAAAAGGCTTCTTTCCTTTCAATTTTGCATAGCTGTTATTTTGTATGTTTATGTCGCTTTTGAGGGAATCTCAATCTGCAGTGTTTTGTGTTTTCATTGCTAATTTTGGGTCTGAATATGTGGAATGCATAATTAAGTTAGCTAAAATATATAGTAATCAAACACTGAACAGATTCTCTGTGGGCCTGACGATGACAAAGCCCTGTGCCCTTTGTTCCCTGTCTTATTTTGCATTGATGAACATGAAACGACCTTACACTTGATTCTTAATGGATTCTGTTTAGAATGTGTTGAATGCAGGAAAGCATACATATACAGTGGGTACGGAAAGTATTCAGACCCCCTTAATTTTTCACTCTTTGTTATATTGCAGCCATTTGCTAAAATCATTTAAGTTAATTTTTTTTCCTCATTAATGTACACACAGCATGTGGTGCAAAATTACAAACATTTTTAAGTTTAATTTAGAAATAAAATCACTAAAGGTTAGAACTGTCAGTATGAAATGGGGGATGCTGGGTATATCCTGAAATGCTCATAAATCAAAAATATCAATAGAGGACTGGTGGGCCACTGCCATTTATATAGCCACAGTAAACATAATATCATAAAAATAATAAACATAAGAAGGTTGGTAGTTATAAAATATTAAATTCATTGGCTGTCCAGAGACGTGATACAGTTAGCCAGCAGATTCTGAAAGGAAATGTCAATAGCCATAACCTCAAAGATGTCTAACCTTTCACCTCTCATTTGAGAAAATGCATCTCCAGAACCGACTTCTCCATCCCCCACCTTCTGCCTTTACTTTTCCACCCCATAATTTTCACTGTGTGCAGAGATTGTGTTCTTTTGAAATGTCCTTCAAAATAAATTAAAAAGCAGCTCAAAACATCTAATCGGTTGCTGAAAACATCTTCAAAATGCAAGAAAATTGAACGCATTTCTAATTTTTATATGGAAATAAGCTGAATAATAATAATAATTAAAAAAAAACATGCTGTATCTTGGCCTTGGGAAGGAAAAACCTCAGAAGTATGTGAGATTTAGCCATGACTTGCAGCAAAGATTACAACAAACTGGATGAAATTCAGCCTTTAAAAATCAGCTTTAAAAATTATATTTTATATCATGCTCTATTCTTCTATGTCTTCTGAATGGCACATTCAACAAATAGGCTGGATCATTCCTGTTATACAATACTCACAATCATATTAATTAGCTTTCTTTTATCACAACATCACAATAAGTCAGCATGAAAGTGAATAAATAATTTTACTACTTAGGGTCGAGTAGACATTGTCATTTTTGTTCCCCAGGTGTTAGCATGCTGATTCCCTAATACAAAATGTTTCAAACAAAACATGTTTCCCTGCAGATTTAGTTTTAATTGGTAGCCTAACATTTTACAGGCTTTTGTGCGCTTCAACTAATACTAATACTGCATTTACATGATTGTCAGAAAGTACTAGTCCTAACTGCAGGTTTTTGGAAACTAAAAGAAACTAGCTTATGATATCTGAAGTGCAGCGTCCCATTTGACAACTCATAGGCCTATTTATGATGATCCTGATGCAGCAGTGACATCAGTTAACAGGAAGTTACATAATTTTGAAGGAAAAAAACTCCACAAACAAGTATTACGGATTTGATTAATTTTGGAATGTTTTGTGGTATTAGTTTGTTTGTCTCACACTAATTGTAGTATAGAATGACTATAATATTAAAATTGTAAAAAGCTGATATCCTCATACAAGCTAACTCAATCGTTGACACTAAACCATAATAATCACGGTGGATTAAGCAGTAAAGGATTGGAGAACACACTGTTTTACACATCACATCTGTCTCTTTCTGAGCTTGCCTATGCAAAGGGAAAAGCGGGCGGCTCGCACTCCCACAATAACAGTCGTGACGTCAGCCCGTCACCTCTCCCGTTGGATGCAGCTGCGGAGAGAGAGAGAGAGAGAGAGAGAGAGAGAGAGAGAGAGAGAGAGAGGGAGGGAAGCAAGTGCGCAGGCGGGGAGAAAAACTGTAATTATTTTAGGACACACTCACA